AGTTTTGGCACTTGAGTTTTGGCAAGCTTGGGTAATTTAGGTAAAATATAATAGAGGTCTATTATTAGTATCTAGGTCGTGGTGGCTCGGAGGTTTAAGATGCCCGCTTCTCATGCATGACGGTTCGGGTTCGAAACCTACCAATGGCAAATATCAATGTGACTTTTTCCGAATTATATGTAGTTTCTAAGATAATCTGGACACTACTGACAGACGGTGAAGGAAAACATCGTGAGGAAACCTCTGGGCTTATAATTTCTAATTATAAGTTTGTAATCGCCAACCCGTATTGAGCAAGCGTGGTGATTAATGTTCAAACCATCATCGTGTGAGAAGAGGCGTTGCTCAGCAGTGGGCATTTATCTATAGGCTGTTGATGATGATTAGTAGGTATCTAATGTAATGTAAAAATAGAGAGTGAAAATCGTATCGTACTTTTAATATCAAGATTAGAGAAAACTTCCAAATCAAATATTTTTGTTACTAGTCAATACAGATTTTAAAGCAAAGTCCTCAGCGTTGGCAGAGCCAATAAAGATGACACGGAGTAAAAAAAAATTAAGCAACTCAGCATGTTTTGAATACCAAAAGTACTCAATAAAAGTACCCTTTATAATCCAGTTTTACCATAATATAAACGATACAGTGATTCAAAAGCTGACTATGCTGAGCTCAAAATCTAACTATGTCATCCAAATAATTCCATTAATTTAATAAGCACTTGCCACAAATCATAAAACTGGGTCCACTACATAAAAATAAACAGATAGGTACATATTTTTTAAGTCACGATACCTAAATGTAGCTAGATAACTGCCGTCATACTCAGATTCTCTTTAAATGCAGATGTATCGCCCAAAAATAAACTGTTTTTGGTAGGTAACGCATGACATTATTAGTTCTAACTATATTATTTTTACCATATAGGAACGGACCTTCCCCAGGCCCCATGTTACACATAAGTCCCCCACTTGTTTCTTTTCGGAAACAATTTGCAACAATGTAGGCTTTCGAGGCTAGAGCTTCGGCTGTTCAATCACAGATGGCGCTGTACTACATTAAAATATTTTCTGAAGACCTAATAAAATATTTTAACAACTATAAGACTTTGTACGCAAATTGACATTTGTGTATTAAGATTATTAAACGTAAATTAACAAATAGGAACAAGTTTTCGGGTTATATAATTAGGTGGATATAGGTAAGTAAAGTATAATAATTATGAAAAGTATGTAAGTACTTACTTAAATAAGAGAAAAAAAAAACTACAATAAACAATAAATAACGTCATATTAGAAACAAACTCCTTAGCTAATATTCAAATTCATTTTGAGCAACACTAATGATATCATTGAATCTTTAATCATTTGAAAGCAACGTGTGAACATCAAGGGTTAAAATCCTCACCTTAATTTAATTAAACCTTTATGTAAAGAAAAGTTCGGGCAAAAAGATATTCCTTAAAATGTGTTTCGTTCGACCAAATTCGGCTTGAATCTGATAAAACTCGAGCTCGATCCATTTCAAAACTTTCCTTTTATCTGGCCACAGAGAGGATGGACCGGAACGCCCAAAATTTGTATACATTTATCGCTGAATGGAAACTTCGCTAAATTCTATTTTATATTCAATCTTTCAAGTCTGTGTTCATTGACGATAGGGAGGAACGTCCTCCTTCAGTTTTAATATAACGAAATTAGGTTTGCTTTTGACTTTGAAATCGGGTCTTATTTTTTTTTATTAGCCTCGTTATACTGTTTGCGGATTGTTAACGATACTTTATGGACTCCTATTACTTTATTTTTATAACACTAGACTAGTTGCTGACTTCATTCATCTATTGAATAATAATAACGTATTTAAATATCATCGCAACCTTTACTTTAAAGAAGATTAATACACAAAAAGTGATGCTTATTTGGTCCTAAAATCAAACCCTGAGGAATCCCAGTCCTAGTATAGCTTACTTTAACTCGAAACAATAAAATACCTATTACCATATTCATAGTTAATTTACATTCTGTGTAAAACTAACTGTTGCTATCGGCTTTCGTCAGGATTATTTGGAGAAAAAAACACATGTGTTGTTCCAGACTAATCTAGCTAGGTTTTATTTTTTTTAAATTGAAGAGTTCCTAGTATTTTTTTTTATATTTTGAGATATGCCGAATATACGGATCACCTGATGGTAAGCAATCGGCACCACCCATGGACATCTTGAAGACTAGAGACGTTAGAAGTACGTTACCGGTCTTTTGGGGTTTAGGAACTTGTGGATTGTTGGGGATTCTTTGATTGGGGAGATTGCGGAGGGGGATAATTGAGCCTCCGGTAACCTCGCTCACACGACAAAATAGAACGCAAGCGTTGTTTCACGTTAGCTTTCTGTGAGTCGGTAAGGTCGGTCGAGCCGACCCATTCGTGCTGAAGCATAGGTATTTTAAAAATTAATAATTATGTATTTATATTTGCGAATAATCATTATTCAGCATAAAAATTAATTTATTTTTAATCACTCATCTGTTACCTACATTCTCTGATTTATTATATAAAAACATTTATAATTTATGAATATAAATAGCGTTGCGTTTTTACTACTTGTACCGTATTTGTTAAATCTATTAACAGTTCGTTATTTGCATTAACCTTTAGATTAAAGGTTTTTGCATCACAAATTTTTATCATGGGCACTTTTTTTAGTAAGTTTTAAACTATAAATGCAGTAGAAATTGATACATACCAACATTGCACAATTTAAACTGATCCAAGATGGCAACAGCAATATTGTTGGTTACAGTTGGGCTGTTTTGCTTCAACGGAGTTTTATGTAAGTGAATCGCATTCGTACACCTCAATTATATTTATTATAAGTTTATTCCTCTTCTATAAGCCCGCCAAAATGATATAAACGAGTCGCGGAGAATCTAACGGGTTACTGGGGCTCCGGCTCGTAGTGCAGGAGTAGGAACGGGGTGGTTTTTAGTCAGTAAGAGTCCCAGTCACTCCCTCCTGCCTCACCTAGGCGGGAGAAGTAATTCGATGATTTTCCCCCTTAAAAAAAACGATATAAATACCGCCACTTGATCGTCCGCATTAATCCTTTGGTGGGTATCTGAAGGTTTATTTTGCAGTATAAACATTTTCAACGGTTCCAATATTACTATCATTATAAGCTATTTATAACAGTGAGTCATATCGCACCTACGGTGCAATACCGTCACTTATGCAATTTTTGTCAAATCTTAACTGTTTATGAAAGAATACTCCAAATTCACCTCTTTACTTGGTGCGTTATTGTCATTTGTGTAGTACGCAAACTGACATTGTGAGGGCATTACTGTCGTTACGGTTTTGGCGCTAATCTGGACGGCACTAGGCGAAACAACGTCTCATTTTTCAGTTGCGCGCGCCCGCGCGCACCCCGCAATACATAAGTGACGTTATAGCACCGGAGGTACGATATGTAAAACTGTCAATTAGTTGTTGATCAGTCTTATTTCTGATCAACATGATGATGGTGATGTTATGTTATTTTATGATTACTATACTTTTGAGGTTACTGCACTTTTAAAACATTTCATTTACCTCTAAATTATAATTTCAGGTGCTAAGGTCCAATGCGATTTTTATGATGTAGAGTGCACAACAAGAACTGCTCAGAGAGAATATCTTAATTTCGTGAATGGTATCGATGGTGTTGCATCTTCTGACCCTTTGAAGCAAGATTTCATTGAAAGCAATCTCCCTAAATTAAAATATACTATTAAGGACGGAATTTTGTCTGGATTCAAGAACTGTTTTATTGAACTATTGAGGTTAGTTATCTTAATATAATTATAATTATAATTATAAATTCTAATACTTCATTCATGTTGCTTCACGTCCTAATTTTCTGCTCGGTCATGGTTGCATTTACTTACCCGAAACAATAATTTGTATACAATACAAGATCAGCCCGCGATTTCATCCGCGTGGAATAGTGATTCACAGCTCCTCCCCATGATAATATGGAACTTATATGTTGACCCAACCTGTTAATTCATGCAAAATTTGAAGTAAATCCATGCAGCAGATTTTGAGTTCATCCCGGACATATATACAGACAAACAGACAAACATTCTAAAAACCATATTTTTGGTTTCGGTGTCGACTGTAGATCACATAACAAGCATTCTTTTAAAAAAAATATTTGATGTACAGTTTTCACTTTCCTACGATATTATTAAATGTATAATACCTAATGTAATATAAATAAATATAAATTTAAATAAATAAATAAATTTGTATGCAATATAATTTGAATACACGTTACACAACCAGCTACATGTTGCGTTCTATAAATAAACCAGTATAAAATTGTTCCTGTATATGGAATATTATCCACTAAAAAAATTGTAGTGCCAATAAGGACGGGCAGGACACACAATAATCTGTTTTGGAAAATGCAATTATATTTTTGCGTTTGATATCACTAGTAGAAACTATATAAGTGTATTTATTTTATGTTTCAGATTTTCGAAAGATCAAACATTCGATAATCACGTTAGATGCCCACAAATTACTTTGAACGGTGAATATGAACTGAAGGGTGACTTACTCAACAACTATATTGAAGGCAAGGGTACCTGCAAGGTAGAATTTTGTAAGTATACTTACATATCAAAGTTCGTTATTTAGTTTATTTTCATACAATTCCGACTTGTTAAGTTGGAGCTGGAGCTGACCAGTCTCAGACTGGTCAGCTCCAGCTCCTTTTGTTGACGTTCAAAAGTGCCTTTCTGGTCTAATTGAAATAAATGATTTTGACTTGACTTGAAGGATAATGATTGAAGAATTTAGGATCTGTTTCAATGGACATTAGCCCATAAACTGTTGGGCAAAAGGCAAGCTTTTATTTAACGCCTATTTCACCACTTTCATATCACCTTATAAACGTATGTGACCAATAGTTTAAATAAATTACATTCTTAACTTAAATTCACTATGATACACCCTTAAACCCATAGCACAATACACGCAGCAACTGCTTCATAGGCGATTTAAACGCAACCTTGCAACGGTGCGTTTACAGTCCCGACTACGCGCGTATAAAAATACGCCATGGCCTTCATATCAACAGCCTTTAATGCCCACTGCTGAGCAAAGCCTCTTCTCAAACAGAGAAGTTTTGAACATTAATCACCACGTTTGCTCAATGCGGATTGGCGATTTCAAACTTATAATTAGAAATAATAAGACCAGGTTTCCTCACGATGTTTTCCTTCACCGTTTATCAGTGGTGTCTGAATAATTTTAGAAAGTATCATATAACTCGGAAAAATTCTCATTGGTACTTGCCGTTGGTAGGTTTTGAACCTACACTCGCATGCATGAGAAGCGGGTGTCTTAAACCTCCGGGCCACCACGACACACGCCATGGCCTTAGTATCACCTAATACAATGTGTCTATAATGAAATCTTGAAAATATTTTATTAATTTACTAGCTACTACCGATTGAGTTGATTTTTTTATAATACGTTTTTATTCTTCCAGACGACTATCGCTTCGTCATCCAAGGTAACTACGACGCAAACAAACGCGATGGCAAAACGTATGTATACTTTAAAAGTTATACACTTAAAACGGATCCAAGAGGAAAAATGATATTTGGCTTCAAAAATCTCTTCAATGGTGATAAGCAGAAATGTAAGATTATTTTGTAGAATTTTCTATTTTTCTTATGCCATAGGCCGGCAAGAGGGCGGACGGATAATCTAATGGTGCTAATAGTAAGCAATTATAACCGCTCATAGACATCCGCAACAGAGTTTTCGAAGCAAGGTCTCCCACGTTACTTCATTTTAAAAATAAAATTTTATTTGTTTTTATATTAACTATAGTGAGTGACATACTGAATTAACTAAAAATTACGTGGTACTTACGTAAATATGCTGTGAAAAGAAAAATTGTCCTCCTGTGCATCGAAACTAGTAAAATTTTTCTCAGAATATTTACATGAGTAATTTTTAGTTTAAATTTGATCTACATAAGTTACTTATATTTATGTCATTATATGTATCTACTTTTTCAGCTGACGCTGCTCTCAAAACGATGAACGAAAACTGGAAAGAAGTGGACAAAGCGATGCATCAACAAGTCATGGAAGCATTTATCAAAACATATATGAAAAATGTTAATGACTTTACAAATAAAATATCAGCTGAAGATATATTATCTTACGAGCAATAAAAATGTACCATGAAAAGCGATATAACTTTAAAAATCAATAAAGAAAATTTGAGCAAAGTATAATGAAAATCATTCGTCCTTTCTTTTGTCTTTAAACTGTCAAACACCAAGCGGTCACCGGTGACCGCAACCTATTGTTCTATAATTGTGTCTACAAAACCGGTACTCGACGAGTTAAAAATTTACTAAAAATCGCGGTTTACTGTTACTCGCTTTAGGTTTAGTTAATTTAGTATGTCTCACGATAGTTATTATAAAAACAGTGAATCAATATTGTCATCTTTTTAGAGGCAATAAGTCACTTCATGAACAATATAGTTATGTTTATGCACGATATAGGTAAAGTTTTCGACTTTTTAAATATCCTGCTAAACAATATTAAAGCATTCATAAGAGATAATCATAAAGCTGAAAACGCAAATGGAGCGCATTAACATAGTAATAAAGAAATATGTGGAGCCGAATATAAAAAAGTATTTTTCTTTTTAAACAAATCGTGTGGGTGGTGGATCAACCAAAGTGATACCATGGCCTCACAGAAAACTGTCGTGAAACGACTCTTGTCTCATATTTCGCCGTGTTTTTTTTAAGGCGGGAAAATTATTTAATGACTCCTACCGCCTGGATGAGGCGGGGAGACGTCAGACTCTTACTCATTAAAAACCACCCCGTTCCTTCTCCTGCGCTTGTAGCCGTAGCCCCGGTAACCCGTTAGGTTCTCCGCAAATATTTCGTCGTGTAAGTGGTTGTCCTAATGTACCAAAAGTTGCACCTAATAGCAACTTAAACAATTTCAGATTCTGCAGTATTACAAGAAATTCAATTCTTTTTTTCTAAATTAGAAATTAGAGCCAAAATCGAGTCCAATCTATCCTCTGTTCCCAGGCATCTTTGCAGGCAAGTTACCACGGACTCCTGCAGCGTTAAGGAGGGATTATTTGACGCTTCGTTGGCTACGATGGCTAAGCAATCCACCCGGATTATGACTCGGTATATGACAGTTATGTTAGAATATTTCTTTTATGTGAACATAACATTTTCACGTTTACTAGATAGAAAACTGTTTTAAGGTATTTTTTAACGTTTTACTCAAAACCTGCTCCTACCTATATAAAACCGACAAAATAGACGATGCAGCGTACGGTCGCAGTGTGCTTGTATTGAACATTGTTATATCCTCTCTAGAGAAGTAATTAGTGGCGGTTACCTCTCGCACACGACTTTGATGCAGCCCATGGTGCAGACCGAGAGAAATGGTGAAGCCTCCTTCTACGAAGCATTCATGAAAGATGAAAGGAGGCAAAGTGCGTGAAGAAATGATTCTCCTCATACCTCGTAGCCGCAAAAGACACTACTGCAAGCGGAGTTATATTCAATATCTCAAGTCTGTGTTCATTAAAGGATACGGAGTATCATAAATAATACAATCGCCCATTATTATGAGAGATGCATAGGAAAACTGCCAAAAAGTAAAAAATCATTAATAAAAACTTTATTTTATTCGCTAACTTTCCTAACCAGAAAGAAAACACACATTAGATTTGATAGTTACTTTATTCTCACACTTTTTGAGTTATTCTGCATAAAATTAATCAAAACAAAAGCAAACTTGGATAAGAGTTCCAAAATGTTTGAATTTTTAAGAGCCTTTGTTCAGTAATGCGTATCTACCGACTGATGATGATGATGATGAACTATACTAATCTTGATAAAATATATCATCCATGGGTACTTTACTAAGGTAACTGTTGACATGTTTGATATACTTCTTCATGAAAGCTTCCATCGTTGTTGTACGAAATAGTTTATCCGCAAACTGCCAGTGTTCGTTCAAAAAGTCCTGTACAGCGGCAGCTAGAAATGCACAAAACAGATATTATGTATATATCTAAGTATATATATAGTAAGTATATGTAATATGATATCTAAGTAATAACGACTAAAGACTGCCTCGTTGGCCGAGTAGTGGTTTGTGCGACTGCCGGGCAAGGGGTCTCGGGTTCGATTCCCGGGTCGGGCTAAGTACTACTGGGTATTTAGATATTCTCAGTAGTAGCACGGAGTCTGGAATTATGCCCGGTATATGGCAATAGGCCTGGGACTCATAACATAAATAGTGAAAAATGGGTGTTACATTGTACAGTGGTATAATGCGCACCTCTGCCTACCCCTTCGGGGATAAATGATGTTGTGTTATATTATGTTATGTTATCCAATTAATAAGTTAAATTTTTAAATGCCTTGAGAAGAGTTTGTATCAAAATTGTACGGATATATAGGTTACTAATAAGGCCACGAGATAAACAATCGTTTAAAATAAAACTATATCCAGAATTAACTTACTTTTCTCTTTATTTCCATTGAATAAGTTCTTAATTTCATAAACTACTCTCCCTTTGGCTTCAATTTCCAGATTACTAGTTAACAATTCGAGATGAATTTTATTGTTAGGCCTAACTTTTCTGTAAGTGTCACCATTGAAATAGAAATTGTAGTCATCTGTAACAAATTATATAAAAATTAATACATTTTTTACAATTTTTCACCGACTTCAAAAAAAGGGGTTCTCAATTTGACCTGTATGTATGTATTTGTGCGATTATCTCGCAATTAACTGAACCAATTTTGATGCAGTTGTCAGAAAAGTTACTGAACTAATACTGAAACCTACTGAAATACTATATTAATTAATCGACTTCAAAAACGAGGAGGTTGAAGTCGGTTTTTTTAACGTAGGTTATTACATAAAATAATTATTGTTTGCATAGGATCGAGCACATATTCCGAAAAGTCCGAAGCTCAAAATCGTCAACGAACTTAACGAAGAACGTGATATCAGATAGTCTTGTTGACCTCATTAGAGGAAACTCTGCATTTGAAATACAGTATCTCTCAAATCTAGTTGGGAAAATACTGAAAGAGAAACACACAAGCAAAATACAATCTTAGTATTTGTATTTTACTTGTGTATTTCTCGTAATGAGTGATGGAAAGCTGTGTTGAAACCTATGACAATAATTTTAATTAGGATAATTTTTAACCGCTGTAATTTAGATATTTTTCCTTTTTATTTTCTGTGTGGTCTAACATATAATATTACTTTATTTTTAAGTAAACTACAGTGTAAATAATTAAATATATGAGTATTTTAAAATTGTATTGTCAAAAATGAGATACTTACAATGGTCAACTCTGCACGTAGATCCTTTGCCCTCGGCGTATTGAGGACCTATATTTCCTTTTAATTCACATTTTGATTGTAAAATAAGATGTGGACAGCAAACGTGATATTTGTACTTATTTTCTTTGCTATATATTCTGAAACAGTTAAAGTTTTAATTATAATAACCAGACAGAAATCTTTTTACATTATACAGAACGAGTGGACAAATTCAACTGGAATTCTTCAAATTCAACGTTTTTAATATAGATAAATGAAATGGAATATCAGTCGGCAATTTATCCTTGTGTGCAGTCTCGAAGAGTACAATTTTATGAACATTATATGCTCATTTTCCTTTCATGAGACAAAGGGGTTCCGGACCTTTGGAATACGTACGAGTGGCCAAAGCTAACTCGCAGAGGCTCCTTGAACAATTTTAATATTAACCTTATTCTTAATAGTTATGTTGTACTCACTTTACTAACTCCACCTTGCAATCACTCATACCAGTGAGTGAGGCTCCTATTAATTTATATGATATCGTTGGAAGATCTGCTTCAAAATATTCTAGACGTAAAGGATCTACCGGTACACCTCCAGGTATACCTCTGATAAACTCTTCGAATGATCTTTCGGCACCTTCTGTTAGGCATCTGTGGTCATCTATATCACATACTATTGGTTTGGGAGGTTTAGCTGAAATAAAAAAAAATTGAATCAATACAGTGAATTTCGAAAATAGGTAGATTTAAAATAAAGAAGTTCTTAGTCCTTGTATCACCGAACATAAGAAGTAATATACATATACACACAACATAAACATAAGAACATAATGGTGAATGGTAATTTTTACTCATCGATCGGTTAGATACTATATTAGTCATGGATATGGTTAGTCTTTGTTTGGTATAATATTTCGTATAATGTATAGTATTTATAAGTAAAACTTAATTGCTATCACAAAGCTAGAAAGTTTTAGATACTATACTTATTTTTTCAACAAAAAATCAGTATCGATTAAAACTTGATTTCACTCCTTGATCAGAAGTTTCCTATCGTAATTTAAAATTAATGAAAATGTAAACCATCTTTATTAATAACAATGAAATGAAACAATGTCATCACTCACATATTGCACTGCTTATAAAAACTACACTAAAAACGAATATCCCAGTTGAGCACATTTTTGGCAACAATAAACGAAATTTCTAATCTAATGCAAGCGTTTCTTAAATTCTACTGAATTTATACTTTGTCAAATTAAATTTTGAATAAAGTGCTGCGGTTCCGTATAACTGAATATTACTGAATATAAGTTAAAATGTCGAGGTGAAATAAAAATTGTGACCCTAGAATACGGGCTTATTTATGACCTATTTTTTAATGTAGATATCAGAAATTGGCACGGTTTTCATTAATATGCTCAAATTACTCTAAATTGATTGCCCCGACAAAATGTAATGAAAGTTTTTTTTTAATTTAACTCAAGTTGATCTCCAAAAACGTATTAACATAAGTCAAGCAACTGACGAAATTAAAATAAAATCAAAATAACTACAAACATAAAGGTCATTTAACTCGTTAACAATTCATTTATACAACTTTAAGTAAAAAATAACAAAGATGTTTTAAATAATTTCTGTTTTGTTTTAACTTAAGAGATATGACGTCTTTGGCACAAAGTAAACTATATTGCGATTAAATCGTTTATGAACCAAACTCCATTGTATTTATACGTAGAATCGCAACGCAAATCAAGACATCAAACTTGAATAACTTGAAAAGGATAGGAAGACCTCGTTCACTGGGTATATGCACAAGCATTGCACAGCATAGGGCTTCGGAGCTGAAGTAATCAGAGAATCTGCTATGGCGTATCGATGCTGATGATGATCACCAAGTGGCTAAGATTCTCACACTCTCTAGTTTGTCACTCCGAAACCTTTCGAAGTTTTTGTTCCTGACTTTCCAGAGGAAACTATTTGCTTAACAAGTATATCACGTTAACTAAAAATCGCGGGTTACTCTCGTGAATATAGGGACTGAGAAAAGCTTTACTAATTTCGAAACACAGAGTACGTGAATAACCCGCGATTTTTAGTTAAATTAGTATGCCTCACGATAGTTATTATAAAAACACAACAATATCACGTCTTCAAAGAGGTACACAGAGACGCACAAAATAAATATAACAATTCATTATTTTAAAAAATACTTTTTATTTGTCGTTTTTTTATTGGATAAGCCGGTAAACGATCAGACGGATCACCTGATGGTAGGCAATCGGCGTCGCCCATGGACATCTGGAACATCAGAGGCGTTTATGTGCGGTGCCTTTTGGGAATTATGAATTTGAGGTTTGTTGGGGAAAAAATAACATAATATAACGTAACGTAATAAAAAATAACGTAATATATTTTTACATGCTTATATTGCGTTAGTAACCATAGTTGCAGTTTATGATACAATATGAAAAATAATTATTATACTAAAACAAATAATTTTATCAATTGTGTTGATTTAGCTCCTAGATTTCGTATATATGAAAATTACAAGTACATATATAACAGAATCATTAAATTCAACAATATAAATAAAAATACATTGTAAAATGTATAAACACAGGTGCAATTTTCGAGATCAGTTATGCCAAATCGAATAATTTTATTAAGTAGGTACTCATTGAGGTCAAACAAGGTTCTAATGAATGCAAAAAAAAGAATTCAGAAAACATACATAAAAATGTCGTGAATGTTTAAGACGCCCGCTTCTCATGCATGAGGGTGCAGGTTCGAAACCTACCAACGGCAAGTACCTATATGAGTACTTTTGAAAATGAATCAGACACCACTGACAAACGGTGAAGGAAAACATCGTGAGGAAACCTGGGCTTAAAATGTCTAATTATAAGTTTGAAATCGCCAATCCGCATTGAGCAAGCGTAGTGTCTAATGCGCAAACCTTCTCCATGTGAGAAGGGGCTTTGCTCAGCAATGGGTATTATAGACTGTTGATGTAATGAGTGATGTGTGTAATAAACAATTCTAATGAATTCCACGCAATTCTAAGAAAAATACACAAGAAGTTATTTACTATGCCTACGAGTCATTTATCATTAGTTAATAGTTACTTTCTGACGCAAGTGATTGTGTGTGATGTGAAAAAATGTAAAACCTTAAAATGAGCAATTCTTATAAACAAGAGGTATATACACAACGATCTGGGAAACGGTACCATCGATTTTCTTGAAATTTTTTTCAGACAGCTTACGGCGCGATAAATCGATAAACCTAGGTTTGATTTTCAGACAATTTTGTTTTATTCGTGCTTTTATTGAATTTTTTTTTGTATTTCGTATATACATATATTTAGTTACGTTTGTATAGCGTCATTAATATAAAAATAATGTATGTAGGAGTTTTTCAGTCATAGTCACGTTGCCGAAGTCACAACTTACTCGTGATAAATGTTCAATTTTAGATTAATATCATCAAGTCTGAAACCGGTGGGAAAGAGTATTGTTACTGTTAGTTTTTTGTGGGCCAAAAGCAGCCAAATCGACCATAGACTTAGGAGATTTTGTTAAATTAGAAGAAGACATGAAACTCGTGTTTCATAGAACCTTTCTTGAGTGTGGAAGATCCATGCTTCGGCACAAATGGGCCGGCTTGACCGAAGTGATACATCTCAGAAAACCGATGTGAAACACTTGCGTAGTGTATCATGTGTGACGAATCATATCACCCCCTCCCCTCTCTCCTCAATCCCTGAATCACCAACAATCCTCAAATTTCTAGTCCCTAAAAGACTGGTAACACATTAGTAACACCTCTGGTGTTTTCTATGTCTATGGGTGGCGCCGATTGCTTACCATCACGTGATCCGTCTGCTCGTTTACCAGTTTATTCCATAGATAAACCACACACAATCATTACCAAAAACGTAGAAAAGAGGAAAATCTACGTTATAGAAAGACGTATACGTAAGTAATTTTGAAACTGCGTGGTAGTACCTAAATAGTAACATTTTTTATTTTAATAGCAATGTGTGCGAAACCTTTTCGTCAGTAGAACAATGACGTCAGCCCTTAATTTGGGTATTGTTGTTATTATTTATATCTCAAAAAATATGCCACGGTATTTAAAATTTATTTTTTATTAACGGTGTTTTGAATGGCTTGTATGGCTGCAGCATTGCTTGATTGAATAGATAACATGTGCGTAGGTAAGTATATATTATACAGCTGAGACAACATTTTGCCATTTCATGTGCATTAATACAGTGAATATGTTGTCAGTATTATTAATTGCTTTGTTGTTGTTCTGCGACTGTGCTTTAAGTAAGTGAAGTATTCTTTTATACAATACTTTCAATTGTTTTCAACGACTTCCAGACATTATTGTGTGTAATGTGATAAAATAAAAATAAATAAAAGTATATTAAAATCCAAGAAGGCCTAATCCAAGCAAAATTGACTTTATTTCCAGGTAAGAGAGTACCATGTGCCTTCACAGATGAAAAGTGTTTAACAGAAAGTTGTGACCGATCTTTTAAGAAGTTCATAAATGGCAAAAGTGGAGCCCAGTCTTCTGACCCCATGCATCTGGATTCAATGACAATTGATCTGCCTAAAATTAAATACGGTGCAAACAATAATAACTTTTTGGGAATGTCGAATTGCCATGTCGTGCTAACTCGGTAAGAACTTTTGAATACCACCATTGATTTAATCAGAATAAAAAAGTTTAAAACATAAATTGGAATAGAACGAAATAGAAGTAAATTCTTCAGGAGGCCTACTAAAGTACTTAGTGTATTCTGCTATGTATAATTGTATACTATATAGTATGTACCTAAGAGATAGAGCCGCGGAGAACTTAACAGGTTACCGGAGCTCCAGCTCGAGATGCAGGAGTAGGAACGGGGTGGTTTTCAGTCAGTAAAAGTTTTACATAGCCTCTTATTTTACCCGGGGGAGGGGAGTATTCATTGGCCAATTTTCCCCTATTAAGAAAAAAGGTCCAAAAGATGAAATTAGGATTAAAAACAAGACTGTGTTTTTCATAGTTTGAAGGGATAAATAAAAGTTTTATTTATATACTTCGATTTATGAATTATCTAATTCATAAATCGAAGTTTTAAACGTAAAGTCTGAGAATAATAAACTAAAAATAATGTACATTTAATACTTTTTTTTTTAAGAATTTCACTAGAGAGCAGTACATTCGTGTACAACATTTCCTGTCCAAGTCTTACAATGAAAATGGATTATGATATGAAAGGCCAACTAGGTTCAAAGAACGTCGATGAAAAAGGGAATTGTGTAGTCAATTTTGGTAAGTAAAATAATTAAAATTAAGATAACTACTTGGAGAGAATGTAAAAGATCGATGTGAGCTCGATCGCATTCTCGCCCGTCATTGGTCAAATTGAAAGTTACCAACCAAATGGCTATACTCGAAAGTCGAGTTTAACAAAAAAAATGAAAATTTAATACCTAATCACTATCACTTTTAATTATAAAATCGTTACCTTACACTAGGATTATCACTTGTATTTATTATAGGACCGTTTCCAAACGCATTATTTCATAAACACATTACTCCTCGACCCAAAAGAAGCCGTGACTATGGTACAGCAATCTATATCACGACGACTGCCCCAACTGTACATTATGTTATATCAAGTACCTACATACCTAACCCTTGTCATACTAAATACTGGCATTTATTTCCAGATGACTATCTTCTAAGATTTGTAGGAGACTACAGCCAATACAATGGTGTGGACAACAAGATTCATCTTCAAGCCAAAAGCTACAAATTCACGCCTGATAATAAAGCAAGAGTGCATTACGAATGTAAAAAACAATCAAGCGGCGATAAGCTAAAATGTAAGAAGATATCGCATAGTAAATTATATTAATACTAGTGGGCCCAACAGACGCGGTCCTGCATATCCACCTGAATATATTAACAAGAATTCATTCAAATTAGTTCAGCTGTTTAGGATAGGAGGAACCTAAACATCGACTGCAGCGCCATCTGCCGGGCTGATTTCTGAATCTAAACCATTTCCAGATCCCCTTGAACACACTCAAAAAATTTCATCAAAATCGGTCCAGTCGTTTGAGAGAAGTTCAGTGACATATACACTCATAGAAGAATTATATATATAAAGATCTATCAGTCTTAAATAATTATGCTACTAATATTATAAAAGGGGAAGTATTTTATTCTATCACGTCATAACAGCTGACGGGATCGAAATGAAATTTGGAACAGGGATAGGTTATGGTCTCTTTTGAAGGGGGGGAAATCATCGAATGGCTTTTCCTGCCTGGGTGTGGCGGGAGGGAGTGTCAGACTCTTACTGACTAAAAACCATCGCGTTCCTACCCCTGCACTTCGAGCCGGAGCCCCGGTAACCCGTTAAGTCCTCCGCGGCTCTGTATCGGCATCAGCCCTATTGAGCTCCATCCGTGGTGGTCTGATGGCTCTCTGAGGCGCGCGGATCACGACGCACCATACGCTCGAGTCTGGTTCTGGTCGAGCCACCCATGCTCGCCGTCCGCAGGCCCACGCTTACGGTGGCCGGAGATCGTCCCGCAATCCTCGATGCCCAGAGTATCCTTCGCGACGGCTGGGTTGTGAAGAGGCAGCACTTCGCTGCCTCACGGGCTCCGCCTCCTCCTTAGATTATGGTCTGGAGTAACGCATAGGCTACTTTTTATCCCACTGAAACAATGCGATGCTGCTGGCAGAAGCTAGTCAAATGATAATTTTACTGAAAAAAAACAACTTTTGCAATGGGGATAATATAATTAGTCCGTAAGTTAGGTAATTAAAAAATATTAGACACGTATTTTTTTTATTTTGTTGTATAATCGAACAATACTTAGATAAAACGAATCAAAGTTTAGGAGTGGGGGCTAAAACGTCATTTCTTAGTGTAAAATGTACTGAGAAGTGACGTCACGCGACATTTCAAATCAATATATCTTCGAAACTATTCGTTTCCGTAAGAAAATAAAAAATACGTGTCTAATGTTTTTAAATGTACTACCAGACGGACATTAAAATAAAAATTAGTCGTCTACCCTATTCCTGATTCCTGGAAACACATTCGTAACTTATATAGCGTTGCTAGTTCTCATGGGCCCGTTTCATAGCAAACTGACCATATGAGAGAACATTTGCGACCTATGAAAACCGTCAAAACACCGGAGCTTACGATTTCTTATTTTTATAGCATAAGCCGGTAAATGAGCAGACGGATCACCTGATGGTAAGCAATCGGCGCCGCCCATGGACACTCGAAACGCCAAGGCGCTACAAGTGCGTTACCGGCCTTTTGGGAATTTGAATCTTGTGGAGGATTCGAGGATTCGGGAGACGGGGACTAGGGAGGGAGTAACCTCACTCACACGACAAAACACAACGCAAGCACAAACCGACGTTTCACGTCGGTTTTCTGTGAGGCCGTGGTATCACTCCGGTTGAACCGGCCCATTCGTGCCGAAACATGGCTCTCCCACATTTAGATAAACACTAACTAAAGTAGAGATACGTTATTGGAATATCATCTTATGTATATAAAAAATTTTATGTATATAATTTTCATGTTATGTATATAAAAAAGAATACTTTGGTCACGGCATCACACATGAATGACTGGACCGATTTCACTAATTCTTTTTTCGTTATATTTGGAGAAGATTCATAACATAGAAAAAATCCTGAAAATTCTACGGGAACGGGACAAAACGGGATTGTGCGTACGAAGTCGCGGGCAGAAGCTAGATATTTATTGAAATCTACACTTTGGAAAAAATCAAATACATAGTTTCATTAGAGGACCATCGCACAGACATTTTAATATTTTTCATATTCCAAAGAGCAATTCAAATATTTAATTTTTATAATACTAACAACAATACTTAATTTTTCAGCAAACGAATGGCGTGATACACACCAACAGGCCGCTAAGAATTTACTACAGAGTTTCATGGCAAAATATATGAAAAACGTTAATCGTTTCTTGGAAAGGACTTCAAATGATGATTTATTCTACCAGGAATTATGAAATAAAAAAAAATATGAATAATTGACTATGAAAAAAATTAAATATAAATGTACAAATAAATCATTGAATACCTGTTTTGTTTACCTATAAGTCTTATTTAAAATTATTTTTTGCTTAACCTCTAATTATTATATTTTAAGATTAATAATCATTTCATTTGTGTTAAATGTCATAAAAAACTGAATTGTAGTTTTCGAAACTTAGATTATTTTTGTTAAAACCTAATTTGGCTGAAATGAGATAAAAATGTGTCCCAGGTGAGAAAGAAATTTCAATAGGAATAGGTGGTACCTTTGTACTTTAATTTTATATATGTGTTGTCCATTATGTTGTATGTGTGTACATCAATAAACATATAAATTCTATATAATATAACTACTGTTATACCTAAGATTTCAAAAGCAGTATCAAAACAAAGAAAAGAACATTGTCTTTTTGTTTCATAAATGACGTGTATATGTTACTGTAAAAGCTCGAACTGCAGTAAATCCTAAGATATTCCAGTAAAACCTAAGATCTACCAATTCCTAATGGTAAATGTCCAAAAAGATTTGCGATTCGAACTTTTACCACCATTCCGTTGGTAAATCTTAGGATTTACATCAATGGCATGGTAAATGTTGAAAAACAAAACATGTCATAATGTGCTCAGCGCATCGACTTCTAGCTTGCCGCCCCCGCTACCCGCGAGCCGTCTCCGCCACTCCGCTCGCCTCAGTCGCTCGTTTGACACGTTTGAACTCGCGCGATAAATGGATTTACAATTATATTTTTGGATTTGCATGCAGCAAAGATTTTATAAAATAATGGACGAGCTTGTGCCAAACAAAAAGATAATAACTTTTATCTCGATAAGGACAAATACGCTAAGTGTTTAGAGGAAGTAAAAACTGCAAAGAACATTAAAAGAAGGAACATTAAAGATAATGTTGTTTTAGGAACCTTACCTATTAATCAATTACATTTGATTGTCTTTATTTACTTCTAAACCAAATAATGAGAAAAATATAATAATTAAGTTAGACTAGCTTTTATAAAATTTATGTTTGTATTTCGTTGTTAAATTCCAAATAGCGAAGTACTGATTCAGTTAGATAGATATGACAGATTGAAATATTCAGATATATACGTCATGTGTTCTTTCAAAAATTTAAATAAGTTGATAACCTTACCAACGAATGCAAACCGTGGAAATCGGTTCGTGCGTTCTGGAGTTATAGCATCAGGAAGGAAAACCCTACTTATTTTTATATAGTAGAATTACTTCACCGTTTGCTAGTAGTATCCCAATATTTGTATTTATTGCTATCATTATGATATCTTTATAATACCATGTACCTGTTTTGTTTAATAGTTCAAAGTAAATAATTAAGAATTACTCATTGTTTTATTCTCAAAACCAACATTTACCAGCTGACAGTGGTAAAACCTAGCATATACTGAGTTCGAATGGTAAAAGCTCGAAAAAATCGTCGTATCTTCAGAAATACTTACATTTACCAACTCATGTCGGTAAATCTTAAGACTTACACTTAAATCTTAAGATTTACCGTAGTTCGAGCTTTTACAGTAACATATACAATTTAAATTTTAAGTAAAACAATGCAAACTTCAGGAATAATTAGATAAGATACATATCTTATTTTTTATTGGTTTGTTGACTTTAGGTTTAACACCTACCTACCAAAAATTATTCTAAACGGTAAAAATGAGGCAATGTTCTTAAACATAAGGGTACATTTATACACAGTGTTACAAATAATCCACATCGGGTTCAATTCCCGCATGGAACAACACTTTGTGTGATCCACAAATTGTTGTATCGGGCCTGAGTGTTATGTGTATGTGAACTTGTATTTGTAAACGCACCCACGACACGGGAGATAATCCTAGCGTAGGACAAAGTTAAAAAAAATGGTTATTTGTTGGGTATTCACATATTGTAACTGTTACTAAAAATTAAAAGGAATCATTAACCAAGAAGATAAATACAGTAGTATGTATGTATAGTCTACCCAGATGTTTTCAGTTTTGATAATTAATAACAGCGCAATATAAGGATCTTTTTGGTTGATTTTCATACCGAGGTTCTATTATCGCATTTTTTTACACAGCTACCTTTCTAATTCTTTTATCAAATGTAGCCTATGTTCATCATGGATAATTTAGGATTCCAATGGTAAAATAATTCTTGAAATCTGTGCCGTAATTTCGCAGCTTATTCAATTCAAACAAATAAAAAGTCTAATCTTTATAATATTAGTGGAGATAATATTTATCATAATCAGGAGAAAGAATCCTAATACAAAATTTGACCACATTAATTTAATTATCTTCCAATACATAATAAAACTATGAGGTATTATTGAAATATTTTGACTTAATAATTAATTACGCACGAAGACCGCACCTTAAGTTTTGGGTCCCGTTACCACAGATTAAAAGTAATCATATAGTTATAATCAACCAGCTAATACTTTAGTCTGTGGTGTGCTAACGAAGTTGCCACATCAAGATGTTACCTTTAAAATTATTAATAATTTCTATTATTTGCGTACAAAATACATTTTGTAAGTTCACTGTTACTATAGATTAAGGAACACAATAGACAGACATAGATTGATAATTATGTGGTATATTTATATTGACAGAATAAATCACACTTTATACGACATAATCTCAGTTGAATTGTTGTCAAATTTACAGACCTTTTTTAGATAGATTATACTGATCAACCACAAAATTATTGGTCCATGAATTGACTTTAAGCAGTCATTTGGTGTTTTTATTCAAGGCTTTCTGTAAAATCTCATATCTCAAAGTTGATGAATGTTGTTGTGACATAGTTATTTGTTGTTCAGTCCAATTATTATAATGCAACATTATTAATTTACCTTGAGTGCTCTCCATAGTAATTTTGATTTTCTTTTCAGGTCGAAAAATCTTCTGTGATTCTGACGATGACATTTGCCTTTCAAACGCAGCGAATGAACGGGTGTTCCCGAAGATAATAGAAGGGATCCCTGGAGTCGAACCTTCGGAGCCAATACATTTACCTCGGTTCGAAATAGTCCTGCCGAATTTAAAGTATTCGCTCCTCAACGCTACTATGTCTGGAGTGAAAGATTGCAGTATAACGTTCAAGTAAGAAACTATGTGTATTGATACTTAAGTATTTTCGTACCGCTTTAAGATATGGCAAAGTCCTCATATGTAAAAGATACCCATCATAATCAAGGAATGTCATGGAATCTTGAAACTTGAAAATATTTAGAATATTCTTAGATTCTTATAATACGGTAGTTAACTACTAGTCAAATTCAATACTTTTATCGAAACGTCAAAAACGATACTTAGGCCTTAGTACGAGTTTGTTTTACGTTTAACTCGTCGAGTACCGGTTTTGTAGACACAATTATAGAACAATAGGTTGCGGTCACCGGTGACCGCTTGGTGTTTGACAGTTTAAAGTAATCGAAACGAGTACGCGTTCGGCACTCTGATTGGCCGGCGCAATGAACCAACCAATAAGTACTAAGGCTCTGTACTATGAATTTTGTACGAAATCCCTACTATGACGTCATCATATTTTCGCGTCAAATATTACACTTACCTATATCTTAAGAAAAGCCAGAATGAATCGAAAATTAAGTATATCGGCAAATCAATGAATGAAAGTGTAATTATTTTTCATTATTTAATTGGACTGAAAAATCAAATTAATTTATTTTTGAACAAGGAAACGACCCAATTGCTAGAAATAAGTTTCAATTTTGGCTAGTGTTCCCCTCTCATTTGTAACCATTGAAGGTTATAACCATCACTCTAGAAAACTAAATAAGTACATATATTGCACCTAAACTTCCACCAAAGAAATACAGTATAAGACCAAATACTACATTTTTATATTCTCAGAAAACACATGAAGGAATGTCAGTTCGAATATGAACCATGCTGCCCTCGTTTGACTATACAATCTGAATATGAAGTCGATGGCAAAGTCGATGCAGTATCGGTGAGAGGAAAAGGGACATTCAAAATCACTTACGGTGAGTACGTTTCATATAGGTGCATTTATACATACCTATTTACATTTATACGGTAAGATTTAAATGAGATCTAGAGGAATATCAGAAAATATTCTATTATTATACTCTGTAAAATTCATGTCATTCTCGTCCCGAAGTAAAATAGATGTGTCTCAGTAATACAATAGTTTTACAAAGAAATAAAATGTGTAAAACAAAAAATAACTAGTGAACTATTGCAAAAAGTAAACTTCAAAAGTGCATACGAACTCATAGTACATAATTAAAACATCATGCTATGTACGTACATAATTCTTGAAGAGGTATTTCTCATCGGATGGCACGTGCGATGCTAATAGTGCCTAAAAATTTACATCTAGTGTCTCATTATGCTAAAGTCAATGAATATTTTTTTAAACTAAAAACAAAACACGACTTTGTTTTTGTTTTTACTTTATGTAAACACTTCTTATGGCAAGTTTGTTTTAGTCGCGGAGAACCTAACGGGTAACCGGGGCTCAGGCACGACGTGCAGGAGAAGGAACGGGGTGGTTTTTAGTCAGTAAGAGTCTGACACTCCCTCCTGCCTCACCGAGGCGGGAGCAGTCATTCGATGATTTTCACCCCTTAAAAAAAAGCAAGTTTGTTTTGCCGCGGGATGAAGACGAAATAAATTTCACGCTGTACATAACATAACATCACGCCTTTTATCCCCGAAGGGGTACCCAGAGGATCACATTACGGCACTTAATGCCACTGTACAACGTAACACCAGCTTTTCACTATTTTATGTTATGAGTCCCATGTATTAGAGAGTGAGCCTATTGTCATATACCGGGCACAATTCCAGACTCCGTGGTACCAGTGAGATTTTTTTTTCACGGTATAGATACTGCAATGTCTATGTTGGTAACAATAGAAGCTTGAGATGATTTTTTGATTTCTGGTTACCTGATTACAATAATTTTGAACCAAAATAGTTCTAAACTACGTCAATTCCTTCTCGATTCAACCAAACAGTTTTTGGCTTGGTTTTCTTAACTGCTGTAGGTCTGTTGACTAAAAAACGACTAAGGTGACTGAAACTATTTAAAAAAATTATATATATTATGTAACCAATGTTTAATCCTTTATTTAACTTTAAAAACCATTTCTAGCTACATAATTCACAAAATAATTAACAAATTCTTTTATTTTTTAGAGGAAATCTACATCCATATCCTAGTAAATCAAAGAAAAGAGAAATTCCCGGACAACAAAGATCATTATCGCATTTTAGACCACACAACGCAATTAGACCTGCGAGGAAAACGCACATACGAATACAGTAACTTGATATTCACCGAAAGTGGCAGATGTGTCAAATGTAATGGATTTTATTTCTTTTTTATTTTTCTTTAAGATACACTTGATGAAAAGAGATACCTACATATAGTAAATGTATGAAACAGCGACGCCTGTTATGTTATTAATCCCAGGGAAGTTTCTTTGTACAATAACATTCGGAAACCAGGTTTTAATAGGTAATTTTAAGGTGCCTATAAAATCACATTTTAAAAATTTGTCTTTTAATGTCAGTCGCACCAAAACATAAACAAATATATGGTTTAGCGCCATCTATCTTATTCATGTGGAACTTACAAAGAGAATTTTATTCTAGGTAATCCAGCGGTGAGGGAGAAATATTTTGCTAGATTTGAAGAAATCACACGAGATCCGCTTGTAGGGGCTTTTATTGACAAACTCATGGAAAATGTTCGAGATTTTCATGTAGCAAGGCCCGTTGAAGAATTATATTACAAGTACGTTTAATGTTCGACCGATTTTTCTGAATAAACAAAGGAATTTAACTCATAACAGTTTTATTACTCTTTTAATTGTAATTAAAACCTGTGAGCAGCATCTTTTATGTACTAAATACGCACATTATCTCATGTTTTTTTTTTAATTTTTTTATGGGCTAAACGAGCAGATGGATCGCCTGATGGTGAGCAATCGGCTCTGCGCATGGACACCTAAAACACAAGAGGTATTACAAGTGCGTTCCTATTAAAAAATAATAATTAAAACATTTTAGTCACATATGACTGTGTGTAAAACCTAGTATGTTGTTAACAACATAAGGCGAAGGCGGTGGTATAATGGTGCTATTATGCACAGATTCTGTGTGAAACTAGGGCCAGTGTCTAGGTTTATAATCCCGTGTTTTTATTAATAATTTGAGTTGAGTTGATGATTTTTCACTAGATACAGTACTCCCTCACCGGGAGCATTCGCCTGTAATAAAACGTTACAGATCTGAGCATTACATCAGTGATGGAGGAGAACCGACCATTACATTTTTTTTATGGCATACATATAAATATAAAAAATTGTTATGCTCGGTTCTCCTCCTTCACTGATGTAATGCTCAGATCCTTAGTGAAAAATCTTCAACTCAACTCAAATTATTAATAAAAACACGGGATTATAAACCTAGACACTGGCCCTAGAACCTGT